GCACCACCACTGCCCGCCTTAAAAGTAAAATCTTAAAAAAAATAAGGTGGGGCGAGGTTAAGGAGGACATCTGTTATTGGCCCTGGCCTCTGTACACATACACACGTGTGTCAGTGTACCTGCTTACGTGTATGGACACACACCCATACACATACATGAATGAAAACACACAAATTATTGTTTTTTTTTGTTTTTAAACTGGTGATGCTGGATTTCTAGGAATCCCCATAGTTAGAACTATGTCACCCAGAAAACCTTCCTTGGGACTAATATAAAGTTATATCATTTGAACTTATAACTTTTATAAGTCAGAAATATCAGCAATTCCGTATAGGTCAACTCAGTATCATGGAAACCATCTTGAGGTCTCTGATTTGCAGGCCACATCTCCATGCTCAAGCGTCGTTCAGAGTGGGGTCCCCTGGATGCCACTTCTCATAACTCTTGCAGAGAGTCTGAAGTACCAGGTTAAAAATACTTGGTTTCTGTGAACAGAGGCAAACGGTTTCTTCACTCAGCTGTGTCCCTTGGAATTCTATCCCTGCATGGACTTAAAATGTCCACAAATGCTTTGCCACCTCTCCCTCCAAAAGGTGGAGCTCTCTGAGTCTGGGATGGATTTTGTGACTTCTAATGAGTGGTGGAAGAGATGGCGAGCCACTCTGTAGATCAGGTCACCAAACGTGTTGTGTTTCTACCTGGCTGTCTCTTGGGTCCTTCACTCTGATGAAAGTTGCCTGCTAGGAGTGAGGATGCTCAAATAGTCCCCAGGAGAATGGCTCTGGAGGGGGAATGAAAGCCTCTTGCTTATAGCCAATAAGGATGTTCAAGATGGTTTAGTTGGGTGGTTTTTGTATCGCAGTTCCTCATAAGTTGTAGACAAAATCCTTCAAGATCCATTCTCTTATTTAAAACCTAGCAACTGATTGTTTTCCCTCCTGGTCATGGGCTCAGTGCTAGAGGCTAAAAGCTAGATGAAACATTCTTGTTCTCCAAGGTCTTGCTCACACTAATAAGATAGTCAATGTAGCACACATTCTGCTCAAAGATGGCTGCCATATTGTAAGGATGCTCAAACAGTCCAAGAGAGCATGACTCTGGTGGTAGGGGCTAGAGAGATGGCTCAGCAGTTAGGAGTACCGATTGACCCAAGTTCTATTCCCAGCACCTCCATGGTAGCTCACAACCATCTGAAGCTTCAGTTCCAGGGGATCCAATGTTCTCTTCTGGCCTCTGCCAGCGCCAGAAGGACCATGTATGGTGTACAGCCATACATGTAAACAAAGCATCCATATACATAAAATGAATAAATTACTAACAGAAGAAGAATCAATCTAGTTAATAAATAATTATCGGAGGGGTTGGCGAGATGTCTCAGTGGTAAGAACACTGGCTGCTCTTTTTCCAGAGGCAGAGACAGACGAATCTCAGTGAGTTAAAGGCAGCCTTGCCTTTAAGAGCTAGTTCCAGGGCATCTAGGGCTGTTACACAGAGAAACCCTGTCTCGAAAATAAAAAAAAAAAAAGTAAAAAAAACCCAGAAAACCCCACAACCCTTCATATTCTCCAGACAGTTAAATAAAAACTCTTGGCAATATTGGCGATAAATGTGGACAGCAGCTCTTTTTCTGTTGGTGGTGACCCCTTTGTGGTATAGAAAAATGAAAATGTGTATTCAGGTGAATTCTTCCCCAAATTTCCCTTTCCTCTTTGCTTCGATTCTGGAAGAAGCTACAAAGGTTTGGGGAGATGCTTTAGTGGTAAAACACTTGCCACAACAATGTAAGAACCAGGCTAGAATCCCAGGAACTCACGTAAAGCTGAATGTGGTAGCATGTACATAAAATCTGATTTATATTGACATCTGATTTATGTGTGTGTGTATTAGCTTAAATATGTGTCTACATATTTGTTGACACATACACATTTATGCATGCATGCATGTGACGCCCAGAGGCCAACAATTTGGGTTGTTTCTTAGGTAACATACGCCTTTAAATCTAAAATTTTAAAAAAGTAGCTGGATATGGCGGTCCATGTCTTTAACCTCAGCACTCAGGGAGCAAAGGCAAGCAGATATCTGTGAGTTCAAGGCTGACTTGGTTTACATAGTGAGTTTCAGGACAGTTGGGGCTGCATGGAGAGACCCATGTCTCAAAAAATAAAAAATAAAAAAAATAGAAAAATAAAAAAGAAAGAACTATGTTTATGAGTATGGGTGTTGTCTGTGTGTGTGTGTGCCATGAGCATGCATGGTACCTGAGAGGCCAGAAGTGGGTGTTGGATTATTTTCTGGGCCTGGTGGTTGTTAGTAGCCACGTGGGTGCTGGGAATTGAACCTGGATCCTCTGGAAGAGCCGGTGCTTTAGCCACTGAGCCCTCTCTCTACCCCCACTCTGTTGAAGGTTGTTTTATTTTAAATTAATTTGCATTTTATGTATATGGATATTTTGTCTGCATGCATGTCTGGTTCCCATGGAAACCACAAGTGGGTGCCAGAGTCCCTAGAACAGGAGTTATAGATGGTTATGAGCTGCCATGTGGGTGCTGGGAACCAAACTCAGGTCCTTTGAAAGAACACCAAGTGTGCTTCATTGTTGAGCCATCTCTGCAGCCCCAACATTCACCTTTTTAAAATTTATGTTTGTATTTATTTATTTTGTGTGTGTGCGTGGCGGGGGTACACATGCACATATGTGGAGGTCAGAGGTCAACACTCAGGAGTCTGTTCTTTCCTTCTATCGTACGGATCCTGGAGTTTGAACTCAGGCTTGGCCGCAGAAACCTTTATCTGCTGAACCATCCCACCAGCCTCAACCTTGGTTTTTTTGAAACGGGTCTTTTACTAGCTGCCTGGAAGTCAGCAAGTAGGTTAGGCTGGCAAGCCCCAGGGACCCACCTGTCTCCGTCTCCCCAGAACACCAGGCTGACAAACATACACCGCTATGGTGTGCAACCTTTCTTCCATGGGTTCTTGGGGGAGAAAACTCAGGTCCTCAGCTGACGCTCATGCTAAGCCCTTCCCTGACTTGGCTTTCTCCCTATGCGGAAGTATACTCCTCATACACAACTCAAAAGATTAGGCAGTGCAGCCCTCACGATGGACCCTGTGTTACTCATTATGTGCTGTCTCTGGATGCTGATCCCTTTAAGGAGTTGCCATTTTCAAAGCCAACTGATTGCCGCGTATGTTGAGTTGAACATTTTCTCACTTTTCTAAGCCAGCTTGCAGAATGACTGAATCTGTCTCATTTCTAAGAATAATGATAATGTCATGGATCTCTTACTACATACTTAATAACTTTTGTACCCATGGCAACAAGTTTTGTTTCCCTTGTGAATCCTCCAAAGATTCAGCAAGCTCACCCTGAACTTCCTCTCCAAGTCTCAGGGTCTCCCATCTGGAGATGGGGCCCTGGCTTGGCTTGAGGTTGTCTGGGGGTGCGGGAGTCACTGTTTCTCTCCCTGCTCATTCATTTTTTGGTAGCTTTTGTTTCCAACTCACATAGACCATGTCGATCTCTTCAGGGCTCCTGCCCAGGGGTTCCAACTTGTTCCATGGAGCAGCTCAGATCATCTATAACATTGTCTCCAGGACCTTTCCATGCCCGCTAAAGACAACTCTCTTGTCCTCCTGTCTCTCTGGACCAAATGCTCCCAGGCATTTTGCCAACCCCGCCCCCTATTCAAATAAATCACAGACATCAATGGCAGAGCTAGAATGCAAAATTTCCCATTTCCAAACCCATCTTTCTTCTGGAGCCATTCTGAAGTTTGGAAGTACTGATAAATATCTCAGTGTGTTCATTTTCCTATTTATGTAGCTCTTTGTGGTTTGAACATGACTTCCACAAATGTTGCCTGCAAGGCAAGTCATAGCATCTCTATTTCATACAAATGGAGACAGAGTCTCAAGTCCAGGCTAGACACCCTGAGTGTGGCCCCCACAGGCAGTAGTGATATCTGTGAGACACGCACATTCTCAGGCCTACTTGGACCCGTAGAGCCAAAAACTCTCAAGTGGGGCCCACAGTCTGTTTGATAAGCCTTCCCCATGAGAATCACTACCTTATCCGTGACGGAGTGAATTTGTTAGGTTCTAAATAAAACCAAAACACTGATGTACTTTGGACACCTTAGGATCTTCCCCCAAATTCCCCTTCCCTCTTTGCTTTGATTCTGGAAGAAGCTACCAAAGGTTTGGGGAGATGCTTTAGTGGGTAAAGCACTTGCCACAACAATGTAAGAACCAGGCTAGAATCCGAGGAACTCACGTAAAGCTGTATGTGGTAGCATGCACGTGTGATCCCGGGGCTCTGGTGATGGGATGGAAGGTGAGGGCAGGAAAAGCCGGAAGTCTCAGGGCCAGCCAGCCCGGTGGACACCATGACTGACAACCAAGAGAACCCGTCTCCAACAGTGTGAAAGGTGAAGACTTGTTCTCTGACTTCCACACATGTACTATGTATGACATGCACACACCCAAGTGTGCACAACACACACACACACTTCTTTATAGAAACAGAAACAGAATTAAGCTCAGGTCAATGACTGTAGGTAAAACTGTTAATATTAGCTTCCTATCTCTATAATGAAATACCTGAGATGAACAACTTATAAGCTGTCGGCTCATAGATTTAGAAATTCTAGTCCATGGCTGTCCATGTTGTTTGGGGGCCCGTGGAGAGGTAGAGCAACATGGTGGGAGTATGTGAGAGCAAATCTGCTCATTCCATGTCTGAGAAGCAAGGGAGAGAGAAGAGAGGAGAGGGGAGGGGAGAGGAAAGGAGAGGAGAGGAGAGAGGACAAAGGAGAAAAGAGAGGGTAGCTAGGATCCCAGAATCCTCTCTGAGGGCACAGTACCAATGAGCTAAAATCCTCCAACAGGCCCCACCCCTTAAAGGTTCTAGTGCCTTCTAAGAGTGCCCCCTGCAGATTGAGCCTTTAATATGTAGACTTTAGGGGCATTCAGGATCTAGACTTCTCTTTTGTCTTTTGTAGATCTTATTGCTGAGAAGGTGGATAAGGAATCATCTCTATTCAACAGAGATGTCAGCCATCAATTGTCGACTGTGGACAAAGAAATACCCCAAGTATTAGTGACTCAAGGTAATTGTTCCTAAAGCATGATCTAAGTAAGAGTCTCAAGTATGGAAGGTTCTAGAATATGTCTTTTGATTTCGTGGTATTTTAGTTCACCTGCAAAAGTTTGTGGTAAGCTAGTGTAGGATCACATACCTGTAATCCCGACACTCAGCAGGCTGAGGCAGGAGGTTCATGAGTTTGAGGCCGGCCTGGGCTACATGGTGACACTGTCTAACAAAACAAAACAAAACAAAACAAAACACAAAAACATGCAATGCATGTAGTCTTCACATTATGAGTAAAATGACTCTGAAAACTTTGACCACCTTTCCAAAAGGATTTCCATGGGTTCTCTAAAGAGCCCGTGGTCATTTAGAATATGGTGTCCTCTTCTGAGCCCCTGCCACCGCTGGGCACTGAGGCCACCTAGCGTACAAGAGAGATTCAACGTCAAAGGTTAGGCTAGTCTCCTATGGTTCTGGCTTCTCCTTCTGGTTGGGTTAACTGAGCTCAGGCTTGTTGGTAGTGGGTAGAGACTGACCCCATGCTGGTACCAAGCCCAGGACACTCTCTTGTGGCGCCTGCACCACGGGACGGTACGTGAGCAGGGAACTAGACTGGAGACTTAAAAACACACGCACACACACAGACAGACAGAGGCACAGGGACATGGGTCATCCTTGATACAAGAATGCCAACTTTATTGTGCTTCAGGAAAGCTTATATAGGGATCCTTAACTGATAGCTACGCCCCAGCTCTTGGGATCTTTCAGCTGTAGGCCTCACCAGAACCCGCTCTCCTGCCATCAATATCTCGTGCTCAGAGCAGCTGCAGGTACAGGTAAACAAGCTGTTTTGCTCAGTTCACTCCAGCAGACAGAGGGTCTGAGGCAGGCAAAGAAAGTCAAGGGGCCAGGGGTCTGCAGCCCCCAACACTCTCTCCATACAGCCACTCCAGACCTTGCTGTATCACTTTCAGCAATTAAACACCAAGGCTGACAGTTGGGGTTCAATCCTCCAGACCTGCATGGTAGAAAGAGAGAACTGACTCCCATAAATTGTCCACATGCATGCATGGATGACATGTGCATGCACACATATATGCATACATGCACACACAAAATAAAATATAACTCTAAGCTTTCGAGTACTGAATTCTTCCAGCAGAGCCCCCAGAGAGACTTACTGATGCTCTTGGTGCAGCTGGGATGAAGAGTCGGGCTCCAGCTTCCCCCGATAACCTAAGAAAGCCTTTGGGCAGCATCCTCCTGCCTGCATCACACACTCTCTTTAGTGTTTCTCCTCACCGAACCTGCTCATTCCTGTCACTGTCTCCTTCTCCCCACTCCCCGACTCCCCCTCTTCCCTTGCCTAGATTACAAATGGAATCCAGATGCCCCTGTGTCCCCTAATGTCAGCTGGGAGCTCCTTCCTTTGAGATCTAACCATGAGTTTTTGTCTTCAAATCCATGCTCGGTGGCATTCCAAAGCCACCCTCATGGTTTCTCAAAGTCCCTAGAGGGCTGTTAGAAGTCAGGATCATCTCTGGCGATATCGACTGCAGGGTGACAGTCACGAATCTCTCAAGCTACAAGCTTGATCAGTTTTTTCATCACCGTAGCAAATACCTGAGAGGAACAAATTTAAGGGTAAAGGGTTTATTTCAGCTCTAGATTTTGGAGGTGCGGGTCTATGGTCAGCTTCGCTCTTGTTCTGAGGCTCTGATGAGACAGAACACCGTGGCAGAAAAGCCATGACTACATGCTGGCCAGGAAGCAGAGAAAATTGCCCCCACGTTGACTGGCTTCCTCTTTTCCCATCTTCATTCTATCTAGGCCCTCAGCCTATTGGATGGTACCCCCCCAAATTCAGGATGGATCTCCCCACATCTGTCACTCTCAAGTCAACCATTTCTGGAAACACCCTCCCAGATACACACACACACACACACACACACACACACACACCTATTGTAATCTCTTATGTGTCTCTTAGTCAAATCAAGATCACAGTCACGACCTACAGTCCTAACCCCCACAAGGCAGACTGCATATATAGTTTCTAGAAGCTAGTGGGGCAGGGAGGAGAGGGCAGCAGAGAAATGTTTCTGTTACTGCCTGTGAGAAACCTTCACTCAATATCTGACACGTTGTGGTCCTGTTCCTCATGCTGGAGATTTAGCTCAGTGCTTCCTGCATTTGACTCAAGTGCGCCACCATCCAACTGCACCCCCAGCCCCACCTCCATTATTCTCAAAGCCTTTGAAGTAGGACGTTCCTGCTTCCTTTTTCCACCTCCCCCATGCCCTGCCTCCCTATGGACCTCACTTCTGGTCTCCTTGCTTCCCACACACTCTGGTTTATTGAACCTTCTTCATGGATGTGTTGCTGCTTGCCAGCCCACACCCTCAGCATCCCAACTTGTCACTGGTGACCAGGCCAGCCACTTCCCCAAAACTGGACTTCTGAAGCTGGCTGACATGCTAGTGCATTGACTTCTGCTCTGAGTTTTGGGGCCTGGTTGTGGGTCACCTGGAGGGATGGTTGAGGCTGCCTCCTGCTACTTGCTACTCCCCTTGTGTCTTCCTGCTTAGATGCTCACACTGATCCTTGTGTCTCCCGTTTAGATGTTTACACGGAGGGTCTGCCTTGCAGAGAGCTGCTGAGCTTCCTGGAAAAGAACATCATCACTGTGGCCGCTGCTATTGCTGCCATCCTCCTGGTCACAGCATTTGTGGTGCTTGCATTGGTCACATACAAAAGGCAGAAGCAGCCCAGGTTAGTAGCTCTCGGCATCCATCTTCTTTTTAAGAAGTCAGGGTGGTGGTGGTAGAGAAATGGCTCTGATTCTATTCCCAGCACAGGGTGGCTCACAGCCATCTGCAGCTCTGGTTCCAAGGGATCTAATCCAGTCTTCTGGCCTCCAGAGCACTGCATGCATGTGGTACTTGCTGGCAAAACACCCATACCTGTAAGATAAAGAAAAAAGAAAAGAAAGGAAACTGAACAATCAACTCAGAGTTTGAAACAGTTGCTTCTTGAAGATCCCAGATGTAAGAGGAAGGCAGGAATGTCTTCCTGTTGGGCCTTAGCATCTCCCAGCATGCTTGATAAAAGTTCCCAGGTGAGCCAGGCGGTGGTGGTGCATGCCTTTAATCCTAGCATTTGGGAGGCAGAGGCAGGCGATCGCTGTGAATTTGAGGCCAGCCTAGTCTACAAGAGCTAGCTCCAGGACAGGCTTCAAAATTACAGAAAACAAACAAACAAATAAACAAACAAAAGTTCCCAGGTGGTGGGTTTCAAGCACCATCTAGCAATTCTCTGAGGCACACTAGGGCTTTGGAGTCTGACTTGGGCTATGTGTGCCTCTCAAGGCCATGCAAGTCTGAGAGAAAACTGAAGGGGAAATGGCAGAGCCACTGGTTAGAAGAATGGAAACCAGGACTGTTCCGGCCCCCCTCCCCCTCCTGAGTGCTGGGATTGAAGGCATGCACCACTATCCCAGACTATGGGAACTAGGACTAGTTGGTGCGGAAAAGCCAACCGTGGCTATTGGAAGGTGTGAACGGACAAGATGGTGGCGAAGAGACCAAGGCTGAATTCACACTGTGAAGTCTGTTCACACTGATTCAGCTGCCTTCTTAGACTATGGACGTGTGGTTCTGCTAGCCGATTTAGCCGCTTTCTAGAACCCCACATGGCCCTGTAAGTGATGGGTTAATGCCTGGCAGGAGCCTTCAGGAACCAGGAGAGAAAGGGTTCAGGCACAGACGGAACCTTGAGCAGACATGAGAAGCAAATAACTTGAGAGAGTATCATATGCATGGTCGCTTTCAGAATTGTGAACCTCTGCTACATTCTTGGAGCCACACATCCCTTACTGACGGCTGAGGACAAGTAGCTCTGGTAGTCATCTTGTCCCTTTCCTTTGGCTCCGAGGCTATAGTAGCTAAATGTCCCCATGAGAGAGTGTCATTGTCTTCTCTAAATGCCAAGGCCATCTGGATGGAAGGCCTAACCAGGCTAGCTGACAACCACCTCACATCCAGCTAACGCTCCTGACACAGGTATGGGGCTTCTTAGACAAAATGGGAGCTCAGATTTAAGAGCTCCTAAAAATAATCTTGGCCCACTTTATAACCCTGACCAGGGTCCATCCTTAGACCAGCCATTTTCTCTCGAAAAGAACTGGTTAGGAGAGTTGGCTCCATCCAAAGCGGACGAGCTGGGGGCTGAGGATGAAAAGCTGCGGTGGAGGAGTTTCCCAGAGGTACCTTGCGGCCCTGGGTCACAGGGAATGTCATCCGGGACAGACCTTCCCTGAGGAAACAGAATTCGGAACCCTCAGAAATTGCAGCCTCCTGTCCCATCTAACGGGGCAGACAGGGGGCTTCCTGTGTGTTTGGTGAGCGGTGTAGTTTTTCTTCTTCGTTTTAGGTATCCGCCAGCGAACACGACGTACAATATTTTTATAATGAATGGGAAGGCTTGGTGGCAAAATCCCGAGGAAAGGTACCTCAGAAAATTCACAGGAAAGCAGAAACACCTGAAATGTAATTCCTTCGTCTAAGCCGGTGGAAGAGTCAGCAAACTGTCAGCAAGCCACTGCAGGAGGGTTCTTCTGCGCTGCCTGGACAGAAATGGAGGGTAGGCAAGAAGCTCTTCAAAAGCTGGTCTCTAGGATAGGTGGGGAAGCAGTGGCCAGTGGCGCCCTCTAGCGGTAGCGTCTCACGTAAGCCTCAGGTGTAGGCACTTTGGCCACTGCCGGAGCTATAGTTCTCATTCTGGGGGTTGAGATCCTGGACCCTGAAGACTTTACAGTGTCACATCTACTTCTACATCCTGTCTTCCTTCTGCTGTGCCACTGGGGAACCCTTCAGCTGCTCCTTCAGTTGTTGGTGCTGCCGCCAGAATGACTTGGGGAGAGTATCTGCCTCTGTTGAGAGCTAGGTCTCCAAGAGGGCTATTCAGAAACTAGATGCTGGGAACTGCTGGCATCATTAAGCATGAGTATCTTTTCCCACTAGGGCCAGGATCTTGGTTGGCTGGTGGGATTTCTAGCCTGGATCCTTGGCGGGTCCTGGGCAACAGTGCCATAGAGCTAGGTTGGCTCAGGTCTGTACCCACAGCCTGCTGGCGAGTGGGCCCGAGGCTTCTGTGGGTGAGCAGCTACTTTAACTGTTAAATGGCACACGAAGGTTTCCACAGTGTCACTCTTTCGTGGACCAGTGACAAGTGGGTACCAGTCACAAGCAAGGTTATTTGAGAGTGAGGGTGGGTTTGGCGCCAGGCACTGACTGAGACTGCTCTGAGAACTCTGGATCTCTTCAACTGTTGACCAGTAGTTATAGGTACTTTGAGCTCTGAAGCTGGGGCCCCCATCTTAGAAATGCATACTGCACACGTGCAGTTTGGAAACCAGCTCCGAGTGAGCAAAGCAGCCTGCTTAAATAACCTAGCGGGGCTGTTAAGACCAATCACAGTCATTCGTTTGGACCAATCCCAGTCTTGGGTTCTGGGCCAATCACAGGCTTGCCAGAGGCCATAGTCGTCCCTCCTTCAGGGGAAGGGCTCCCTGGTTGGCCAAAGTGGAGCTGGTTCACTGAGGCTGTGACTGTAGAAACTGGCACAATCCCTTTTTAAACAGCTCTGTCTAGGGCTGGGTCCTCAGCAGCTGGGATGTTCTGCATAGCCGGCTCCAGGCATCAGCGGGGCTTTTAAGATGGACGGTGCTAGCAGAGCGAACGTAGTTCACTGGCTGTTAAGAGTGACTGTCCTTTTGCTCAGAGCCGCTTGGACAACAAAAGAAGATGCCAAAGATGCTAATTACGGGGCCAGACCGATCCCAGCGTCTGCCTGAACACCAGAAGGCACGCTTACAGTAAAAGTCAGTGCTCCAATGACAATGACTTTAGCAGATTTTAACTGTGCTTCTACCTGCTCACTGCCCAGGGAGGGGGGCTCCTCTTCTCTCTCTCAACCAGGACTTGGAATCACGATGCAAGGAAATTCTTGATCTAGTCATGGAGAGGCAGCTGGAGTTAGGGCTGTGAGGTGTACTCCACAGAAATTTCCTGTTGCCCGCCTATCTTGACTGAACCTCTGGACACTTGTGGTACTAGTGTATGAAGGACCAGGGCAGCTGATGGTGGTATTTTTGGAAGGTCGTGGCTCCTTTAAGAGTGGATGGTGTAGATGATTGGGAGCAAGCTGTGAGGTTTTAGGTATGCATTTATTTTTAAAGGTTTACTTTGTAATTTTGTGCGTGCGGAGGGGTATGTGCATGTGAGTTTGGGCGTCCTGTGAGACTAGCGGCCTTGGATCCGCTGGAGCTGGAGTTGCAGGTGATCGTTACCCACCTGGCTTGGGTGCTGGGAAACCGAACTCGGATTCTCTGCCAGAGCAGGAAGCACTCCAAGGGCTGAGCCCTCTCAGCTCCTCCAAACTGGGAGGTTTGATAGCCTGATCCCTTTTCCTCCTCTGTGTCGATGATAATAACCCGAGAGACAACTTAAAGGAGGGACATTGTATTTTTCTCATGGTTTTGGAAGGGCCAGTCACTGGTTGTCTGGTCCATGTGCTTGGTTAGATTATGGTCAGTGGGGGAGGAGAGCTCTTCACTTCATGGCTGACCAGTAGGCAAAGGGACAGAGAGTGCAGACCCTCAGCTGGCTTTCTCCTTCCTCCCCTCTCCATCCTATTCAGCCACCTGCCCATGGGAGGGCATCACCCACACGGAGGGCAGGTCTTCCCTCCTCAGATAATTCTCTCTGGAAACACCCCTATGAATGCACCCAGAAGTGTACGTTAGCAATCTCCTTGTGAGACGACTGTGTTAGTTACTTTTCTTGCCTTGATAGAAGGAAGAGTTTATTTTATCCCACTGTTCTAGAGTGCTAAGAGTCTGTCGTGGAGAAGCTTGGCAACAGCGGCAGGAAGCTGAACTGCAAACATGAAGCAGAGAAAATAAGTTGGAAATGGCCCACGTCTTTAGAGTCTCAAAGCCCGTCCCCAGTGACATGCTTCCTCTACTAAGGCTGTACCTCCTTAGCTTTCCCAGATGGTGCCACCAACTGGGGACCAAATGTTCAAGATCATGAGCCTGTGGAGGACATTCTCATTCAAACCCACCCAGACAATGAAGATTAACCATCATACTGGCCATAAATCTTGTTAATAACCAGAGTGACCCCTCCTCTGTCCTTTCCAAGTCCTTTGTCTGCTTGGTAGCTCAAGGGCCACTGTCCACAAATTAATGTGGAGTGGGACTTCTCAATCTGGGGCTCTGTATGTGTGTGTGTGAGTGTGTGTGTGTGTGTGTGTGTGTGTGTGTGTGTGTTCTGGCATCCAATGGGTAGCGGTTAAGAATTACAATACACAGGAGAGCCCTCATATCCGCCAAGGAATTTTTCAGCTCTAAGTGTCAATAGTGCAGAGGCTCAGACTCTGGTATGGATCTGTCCCTGGACAGCCTCACCAAGATGCCCTTCCTTCTTCACTGACCCTCAAGGTTTTCTGGAGTCAGCGATGTAACTGCTCCTGCATCTAGATGGGGTCTGCATGTCTCCTAGATCCTTTGTAACCTGGAGCATTTATCCTCCCAACCCCCACTAGCTGATGAGAGGCCACGGAGGCCAGTGCGGTAGAAACATTAGGAACCCCCAGTAGGGGAATCTGAACTACCTGCTTACATCGGAGAGCTAGGCCCTTGGGGTTCATTTGCCTGTTCTCATTATAGTCATGTGCTGCCTAGTGATGAGAAATGTGTTAGGTAATACTACTCTTGTTTGAGTATCATAAAATGTACTTACTCAAACTAAGTTGGATATGACGCCTCTAGGTGGGAAAACATTTATATGTTTTATGTGGTGCTGGGGATTGAAGCCAGAGACTTATGCATTCTAGGCAAGTGATCTACCACTGAACTGTAGTCCCAGCCTCTAAATGATACAACTCCATGGGGCTACTGTCATAAACAACAATATGTTATTAACAGAAATGTCATCAGCGGTTTCCATGGACTCTGCCTTAGGCAGGGCTACTATTGTTGTGATGAAACACCATGACCAAAAGCAGTCAAAAGTTTTCATGGAGAGGAAAAGGTTTATTTCACTCACGGTTCCCTGTCACAGTTTGTCATCAAAAGCAGTGAGACAGGAACTCACACAGGGCAGGAACCTGGGGGTAGGAGCTGGTGCACAGGCCATGGAGGGGTGCTGCTTACTGGCTTGCTCCCCTTGGCTTGTTCAGCCCACCCCAGAACCTCCAGGCCAGGGATGGCACCACACAAAATGGGCTAGGACCTCCCCATCAATCATTAATTAAGAAGATGCCCTAGAGATGAATCTTATGGAGGCATTTCCTCAATTGAGATTCTTCCCTCCAGATAACTCTAGCTTGTGTTAAACGGACATAAAACTAGCTACCATGGACTCTCATATGACTTACGTGGAGATTCGCTTATCCCATCCAATCAATTGGATAGGATATCACCATTTTGGGGAGCCCTCTGGTCTGGCTCAGTGTCCCTCCTAAGACCCACTCACAAGTCAGGAGCTGCTTGCTGATGCAAAAGTGCCTGCAAAAGACAGGCTGGCCTTCTCTACCTCTAGGTTCCACACTATGGCTGTCTCTGAGACTTTCTGGAAGGTTCCTGTGCCTCTCTGTTCCACTAATCCTTCCAGAATGCCCAGGTCTGCCGACTGAGATGGCTCAAGTAGCCTGCCTCCCAGCTTGCCTCCCAGCCTACATCGGCTGCAGAGGCTCTCTTTGCAAGTGTGATTGGCAGTCAGGCAAGGGGATTGAGAGTTGAGCCCAAATGTGGTCTAAATGACCTTCCAAATGAGATGCCCACTGAGCACTGGACCCTTTTCTAATGGAGATGCTGCTTTAATGGGCAGCCAGATGTGCTGCAGGGCACCTGAGCAACTCCGTCGCCCTGGCAGGACCTGGATGTTCTTTCTGTTCGTCTTCCGTCCTCTGGAACACTCTTGGCCTCCTGAGGGTCCCATGGAACTTCCTGATTCCTGAGGTTTAGATACGGTGAGCCAGCTTGGTTGCTCTGTAAAATAGCAAGTGCTTGGGTTTCTCTGTTCAGTAAGGGCCTGTTAGCATTTGGAGATTCTCATCAGTTTCCAGCCAGGATGGGATGAGATCCCGCTGGGGTTGACTCCCTGCGAGCTCCCATTTCCTGCTCTGTTTTGCACTGCTCTGCAGGGCTGTCTTGGTCAGTGTTCTGGTGCTGTGAAGAGACACCAGGACCCGGGCAGCATTTAACTGGAGGCTCGCTTACAGTTTCAGAGGTTTAGTGCCCTAGTCTCATGGCGGGAAGTGTAGCGGCAGGCAGGGAAGACACGGTGCTGGAGAAGTCGCTGAGAGTTCTACATCTGGATCCGCAGGCAGAAAGAAGAGGGCTTTTGGAAACCTCAAAGCCCACCCCCAGTGGCATACTTCCTCCAACAATACCACACCCCATAATCCTGTCAAATAGTGCCACTCCGTGGTGACCAAATATTCGAATCTATGAGCCTATGGGGGCCGTTCTCATTCAAACCACCACAAGAACCCTGACTCTTCCTAGACACCCTTGCCATCTGGCTTCTACCAGCAGGAAGTACCGACTGAGATTGATTGGGGGGTGGACAGAGGGAAAACAGCTTCCTTTCTTAGGTCATTCTAGAGGGAGCACCCCAGAAGTGGAGGATGACAGTGGCCTGCCTTGAACGGGTGCGCGAGGCAGGAGGGAGAGGGAGGCAAGAGTCCCGAGGAGCTGCCCTGGGTCGTCCCAGGACAGTCGCACAAGTGTACTTGGTACAATGTCTCCTGAAGTCTACAGCTCGATGCTGTATCCACCTCTGGCCATGGTAACCAAGGGATGCTCCAGTGGGGAAATGGATGTAACTTCCCATGCTGGGGACTTCATGCCCGGCCCCAGTTCTAGTTGACATATCAGTCCCTCTAAGATGCAGTGGAAGGGTGAGGACTGGGACAAGATTTGAGTCAGAGGGATGAGACGTCACCAGAGTACAAGATCATAATCAAGATGGGGCAACCCCTTCTTCAAATCCATGGAGAGACATCCCATTAGGTTCTAAACCCAGTGGCAGGGCTAGAGGCAGCTCTGGAATAGAATGTGTTAGCAAGGGTTAGGTAGGCCAGGGATACGCGGGCTAGGGGAGATACATGCATGCCAGGATAGGTGTAGCCCACAGGCAGGAGAGCTTCTCTGCTGCTTCAGTCCCTGAGCAGGTAAGGTTAGGTTGGGTTACTGTAGGGAGTGTTGTACAGGGGATTGGTGGAGTAGGCAGTGGCAGGGCGGACCCTGGCTGAGCGGTGGTCCTTGGTGTTGTCATTGGCATGCTTGTAGCTCTTGGGGACAGCCAATGAGACTGTGAGGTCCTGGCTGATTCTTCATGCAAGGATGGGGGTCCTTAGTTAAAACCTCCAAAGAGGTGGGGAAGAATGGTGGGGAGGCCCAGAACAGTCCAATCAGGGCCCGAGGGTGGAGCTTGTGGACTTATCTATGTGGGGTCTGAAGACAAAGAACCCTGAGAAGATTCTACGTAGCTCTTTGCCAAGTAGAAGAGTTGACCCACCTCAAAAATGTGCTTCTGCTTAACCTGATCAGTAAGTTCAAAACTGCCCCAATGGTGGCCATGCTGAAGTCACACATAGCCTGACGTATTAGACAGAAGGTGTCCGTGCCAAGATCCCAACCCAAGAGACCAGAAGCCTAGTCCCAGTTCATAGGGCATCCTGCATGTTCCCTCCTTGCTTGATCTCCCAGAGGCTCAAGCAAATGAGGTGCAGGGCAGGAAGGGGAGAACTGGAGGGGAGGGAACCATGAAGGGGAACAGGGAAGATAGGAAATTTGGAGCCGGGCATGTAGGGAAAAGAAATCTGATTGACAAGTGGGTGAACTTGGAGAGGAGGCGGGCTTTGCTCCCTACCGGCGTCAGCAGCTGGTATTTACAGGACTGGTCCCCACTTAGGCAAGCATTTGTCCAGACACAGTGGCCAGTGTCCCTCCCTGTGGCAATCTCCCCCAATGGCTGACCTGCATGGGCTTGGCCTTCGTCTCCTGTGAGGTGAACATGATTCCCCCCATTCCACAGCTGAGCCAGAGGGGGATGGGAGTAGTCTACAGGAGCAGACCTATATCTCTGCTGCCAGACTGGGACTGCGAGGTTGGCCATCGCAGGACCAGAGGCAACAGGGGACAACTGTAATGTGGTCTGACTCAGAGGGACTGCCTGTCTGAGCCCCACAGTTCTAGGTGTTCCACGGGCAGAGAGCTGGATCCAGCTGGATTCTGCTACTGGTCTTCCCTGAGCTTCCACTTCCTCATTCTGACAATAGAGGAAATAATTGAGCCCCTGCTGTATGCAGGCACTATGCTGGGCTGGAGGCGCTATAAAGAGAAGGAACTGGAACCCTTTTGAGCTAGGATGAGATGTCCCAATCTGGTCATGTGCCCCCTCACTCTGCTTCATTCCAGCCTCTGGGCTCCCAATTCTGAGCAGCAGTCCACCCCCTCCCAGATCTCCTGTCCCGTTTCCGGACTTTGCCTTCTGTAGGTGAGCACCCTTTGCCCGTGGGCCTGTGGGAGCTAGCCCACAACTGTCTACTTCATTTTCACCATTCCCAAAGGGATCCCCTTCACCTTATTTTCCCCTCACTTGGTGGGAATCCAGTCCCTTTGTCCCTGTGTGGCTAAGTCAACAGATGGCATGGGGCTTTAGAGTCCAGCCCGGCTGTGTTCTCTCTCTGCTTTCCGCCATGTCCTAGGAAAGTCTCCTGTCTGTTTACTCTTGGCCTGTTTCTCTCTATAACACGGCTACATCCTTTGTGAGGCTGTTGTCTCACATGAACTCTTACCTAGAACTGCTCAATAGAAAAGAAGACTTTTTTTTTTTAAAAAAAAAAAAGCTGTTATGATTCTGCAAGATGTTGGTTCTCTGCCTTCGCAGAATCCTCTGCATTCCTTCTAACCACAATGCCTGACCTGGCCACTCCCACACTCATCCACTGGCTCTGGAGACTGGTTGGGAATCACTATTCAGAGACAGGGATGGGGCCCATTCAACCTGTGAGCTGTGTTGGGGGCAGTTTCAGGGAATACTGAGAAAAATCCCTTCTCTTTGCACAGGACTTGAAGTAACTCCGTATCTCAAAACCCAGGAAGAAAATGCAACAGAGAGAGAAGCCAACAGGTGGGAGGTGACAACCCTGCAGCCATCAATGGAGCCCAGAGCAGGCTGCCCTGAAGCCCATCCCTGGAATCTTCAGCTACTGATGCAATAATTACCAAACACATTTTTTTTGTCTCGCTTGTTTGTTTTTTGAGAGACTTGTGTATCCCAAGCTGACCCCAGACTCCCTATGTAGCCAAGGATTACCTTGAACATCTGAGATTATATTTTCGTAGGTGTGTGTGGTTGCATGTGGGCATGTGTGCCTATAGAGGCTGGAAGAGGGTGTTAGATCTCGTGGAGCTGTCTTGAGTGGGTGCTGGGAGCCGAACACAGATTCTCTGCAAGAGCAGTATGCATTCTTAGCCACCAGGCTGTCTGTCCCTACAGTCCATACTTAGAGCTTCTGGTCTGTATCTCCTAAGTACTGGGATTACAGGTATGTACCACTATGTGGTGCTGCGGTGTTGGGATAGAACCTTGTGCATGTTAAGCAAATACTACCAGTTGAATTATATTCCCCGCCCCCCAAACACTCCAGTTACCAGTGTAATGGTAAAAATAAAATGGCACAATTCCCAAGGGGCAGCAGTGGGCAGCGGGCCACAAGAGGCAGCAGATCCCAGGCAGATCAGCCAGTCCCATAAGGAGCCGTGGTGAATGAGAGACAAAGCTGGATAGGCATGCCATGCAGAGACAGTGGGTATTTATTTAGTGGGTTATGAAGGGGAAAGGGAAAGGGGAGAAAGGAAGAAGGGGGAAGAGCAGAGAGGAGAGAGAGAGAGAGAGAGGAGAGAGAGAGAAACGGCAGGGGGAGGAGAGGAGAGGACAGGAGAGGAGAAGTTACCTTTTTGGGAGAGAGACAGAAAGGAAGGGACTCAGGCTAGAAGCAGAAGGAAGATCTGCTTGATTTGGTGGACAGGGGTGGGGGTGGGGTGGGCGGGGCTTGTCTCTTAAAGGGACAAGACAGACCATTACATTCCCATCTCTTTTTTTTTAAATATATAATAATAAGGTGGGAGGTTAGGCACAACAGGTTAAAGGAATTAGGATGGCAGATTCTCAAGTCTGTTTCCTGCTTATTTGTGGGTGTCATTTTGGGAGGGGAACCTGAGAAAGCTGGGTGCTGGTCACATCCTGGGGTAGCTGGTCTCTTTGCTCCTGTCTGGTGTTTGTGGTATGGAAATGTCTAGTGTCTCTTGCAGCTGTTTAAGGTATTAGCAAAACACAGGATGAAGTTAAGTTTAGGAAAAAAAATTAGGACCAGGGAATTGAGAAGGGTATATCTGATCTGTTTAAGGTGGATCTTTTAATTCGGCTCCCTGGAACTCACAAGAATTTTTTGGGTTGTGAAAACACAAGTTTTAGACATATACATTGTATAAACAGTAGCATATTTATGTCAGAATGACTGTGACAGGTGTTTTTTTGCAAAATGAAAAGTATTTTTAAGATTATGGAAGGCAGGGTGAGAGAGAGATTTGATAACTTGTATTTGTCCTCACACCTTTATAACTTGCAGGTACACACCTTAATAACTTGTATTTGTATTTTACTGAAATTTGTTAGGTGAGGCTGTCCTTTTAAACTGGTAAAACCTCTCACCTGTCAAACTGCATCAGAGATCTTTGAGAAGGATAAAATTTTACTTGAGTTATTGATTAAAAACCAACAGAGAACTTACTTGGTTGGCACCTAGAGCTGCTCCTCAGGGTCCTCCATGGTTGCTGAGGGTCGTATTTTTCTTTTGCTGTTTAATGCAGCGCCTACCAGACTCCAGAGGATCCTATGGTTTAAAAATCTATAGGAAGACAGGCCTACCTTGATCTGAGCAGCTAGACTGTCGATTCCAGTGATTCTGTCCACATCTGGAGATCTTCAGTTTAGATGAAAGGCAGTTTTTCCCAGTGGTCAGCGCTTGGCAGTTGAAGCAAATTGCAGATGACTTTGTTTTGTGCCCATTTGCTTTCTGTCTTCTTTGGAGGAAATAGAGTATTGCTGCTAGGAGCCAACCTGTCTCTTTTTGCTATGAAAAGTTTTTTAATAATTAAATATTTAAAATGCCATATTCCCCAGATCTCTGAGCAGTTGAGGGCTGATTATCAGGTATAAATAAGAACAGTATAGAATCTGCCCAGAGAGCTGGGTCTAAACTTGACTTTACTGGCTCTCAACTTAACAGGTAAGATTTACACTCGTAAAAAGACAGAAAGAAGAAAAAAAAACTGCTTGCAGTAGAAGTTTAACGGCAGAACTGACAATAGTAGAGAACAGCTTAATATATTTTACACCATATTTTTGTAAGAGACTTAAAGGGACATACCAATTTAAAACATGAGACTTTTTGCTTTGTAGTCTGGAATGATACAATGAACAGACAATTATAACATTTAACAGTAGACATAGGTGCATTTAAGTTGCATGTATGCACACACATTAAACAGGAATTGGGGGAAGTATACTCTTGGTGGGCCCTACTAAAGGCATGCCACTGTGCAAAACACACATGTGACAGAGTCAGCACCAGGGACCAGGCAGGGACTACCTCAGTAAAGATGGTGGAACTTGGTCACTTGATCTGGCCCTCAGTTAAGATGGTGTGAAGTCACCTAGTCACCTGACCTTAGGTAAGATGGCAGTAAGGTCGCCTGACCTCAGTCAAAATGGTGGCGGTCACGTGTTGTATGGAGAAGCCACTTTTTTTTTTTTTTTCGGGAGTTTTAAACATAATAACAAGAGAGACCTAGAAGCCTGATCTGCCCGGCTGTGCTGCTGTGCCACAAGCTGCGGTGGGAGGGGGGCAAAGGCTGGAATCGAAAACGGCTGCCTTGTGGACCCAACTAATCTTGTTGGTTTCCACGGGACCAGCAGTAGCACTGGCAGGGATAGTTTGAGGAAAAATGGAGCTGGCGGCACACTGGCAGAGCGTTCACAGGCAGGGGGCTGATAGTTTGAGGGTTTATATTCCATAGCCGAAAACGTGAAAACCCACAAAAACAGCAAACGAACACCCTAAGGCCTGTAGAAGAATGTCTTCTCTCTACAGGCGGGGTGTTAATAAAGCCCACTGGCCCCAGTCTGGGCGACTCAGAAGCCAGGCCACTCTGAGCAGTCTCTCACAGTGGGGACCACTTACGAGTGGTCTAAAAGAAAAGAGAAAGAAAAACCCAAGGGACTCTGGGCTCCAAAGCAAACACACTGCTCAGCATGTGCTAGCGTGAGTGGACTAACCTGGGTCATCCAATCACATTTTTAGCTAGGGGAACCAACCACCGGTGAATGTCAGCGAAGGGCTCAACCATAGTAGTCGTGGAGGCTATGGTTGGGGCAATATGGTTAAGCTGACCGGAAGGGGAAAACTCACCACCAAAACCGCTGGTGTGTGTAGAGGTCAGCGTTCAGGCAGAAAGAACGTGGGGCTGTTATAAAGAAACCCGGTTCCCCAGCCCAGCCCAGGGTTCCGCGTGTCCACAGGCAGGCTGACTGGGGGGGAGGGGGGATGTGGAGCGTGCCTGGCCAAGTCACAAGCACCAATGTAGTGGTAAAACTAAACGCTGTGGGTCCCTGAGTGGTGGCAGCTGGCAGCAGGTCCCAGGCAGGGAGCTGCTCGGCGGGTGAGAGACAGGCAGACCATGCAGAGAAAGTGGGTTTTTATTTCATGGGTTATGGAGGGGAAAGGGAGAGGGGAGAAGGGGGAAGAGCAGAGAGAGGTAGAGAAAGCGAGAGAGAGAGAGTGAGGAGGGAAGGGAGAAGGGGAGAAGGGGGGAAAAGGGAGAGAGGTAGAAGCTGCCTCTTTGGGAGAGATGAAAAGGAAGGAGCTCAGACTGAAAACAAAAGGAAGATCCGCTTGCCTTGATGGAGGGGAGGAGTGGGCAGGGTTTGTCTCTTAAAGGGACAGGGCAGACCATTACAACAGGGCTAGAGACCCCACCTCACAACACATTCCTGTCCCATTTGCTGCTCCCTCTTCCCCACACCTCTTTCCTTGTCTCCTGTAGCCTCTTGGCTCTAGGTGTCTCCTCCGTGAGTCCTGCCCTGACCCGTGTTCCAAATGTCCCACCTATAGCTAGATCTTCCACTTGCTAGTGTTTCCCTCCTCAGCACTGACACACTTCGTGGAACACTTCATCCTTTCGCTAAGTCTGTCTCTCCAAGGGAAGAGATCATCATCTGCAGTGGCTGCAGCAGGCCCTTGGTACCTGGACAGGGATAAGCTGACCTGTAGGTGAAATAGGACTGGACTCAAAGACACTAGCAACTCCTTGATGGTTTGGAGGATGCAGAAGGAGCCAGTCATCTGATGAGCCCTCAAGGAGGGCACAGCAAGTGGTTGCTGGACCAGTCGGTTCTCTTTAGACTTATTAGCTTGGGTTTATTTGCCTGGGGATGATGGTCACTTCCTAGCTTTAAAACCGCCTCCCACATGGTGCTTGGCAGCTTTCAGTACCTCAGAGTTGCCCCTAGATGGCGCAAGGGAACATTGGGGCTGCACAGCATAAATTGTGGGAACTGGACAATTCCCAGAGATGTTGGTGAGGATGGCAACAATGGGCAGAGCATTAGTCAGGGTTCTCTAGAGTAACAGAACTTATAGAATGAATTTCTCTATATACATAAAGGGGATTTATTGGACTGACTTACAGGCTACAGTCCAGCTAATCCAACAATGACTGGCAGTGAACGGAAAATCCAAGAATGCAGTAGTTGCTCAGTCCACAAGGCTGGGCGTCTCAGCTGGTCTTCTGTATGTGCTGGGATCCCGAAGAAGCAGGCTCCAATGCCAGTGAAGGAATGGATGGGCTGGTAAGGCGAGGGCAAGCAGGCAAAGAGCATAGCTTCCTTCTTCCATGTCCTTATATAGGCTGCCAGCCGAAGGTGTGGCCCAGATTAAAGGTGTGTCTTTCCTCCTCAAGATCTGGAAATGCCTGTGTCTTCCTACCTCAAAGGTCTGGACTAGCAGTGGATCCACCCACTTCAAAACAAGGGGAAAAAAATCTCTCACAGCTGTGCCCTCCATTTCTGGGTTGTAGCTCACTCCAGACGTTGTCAATGAGGAGGTAACCATCACCGGTGGCATTTGTCTCCAGGCCCCTTTTAATATTCATAACAGCCCCAAGAGATAGA